GAGGCATCTCCAGCCTGCCCCTGTCCTTTCTTCCATGGGTAAGTAAACAATACACATATGAGTACAAAAAAGCCACAGAGAACATGTTCTATTGACCAATAAAGAAGCTCATTGTCCTTCCCCATGTTGAGGGCAGAGCTGAATGGTGCATTTCAGAACGACAATGATTTTCCAGTCTGCCCTACAATGTGGAGGGGATGAGAGAGGAGAGATTGGGGTTTCACAGCATGAGAGGATGCCAAGAGTGTGGATGCACCACCTAGTCTGTGTTTCAACAACTGAAAGTTTCACAGAAAGCAAAACTGCTATTTCCCAAGTCATTGGCCTTTTTAGTGTCCCAAATAAGATATACAACTTCTCCTTTTCCAGTAATTGATTTCTACCAGTAGTAAAGCCCAAGTTCCATACTTGAGACATTTTCCATATATGTAATGGAATGAAGAGAGCTCAATGTGGGAAGGTCAGAGCAACCTGTTTATGTTCAAGGTTCCAGTTCTCCCCTCATCAATGGTTGTGTTCATCTCTAAGTCTTCCCAGTTTAGGTAATCCTGGGTGGATTTTTCATGTCACAACAACAGTGTGGATGGGAGTTTGAGGAAAATTTCCATATCGCATTGTCACTTATCTTGGGTCAAACTGAGCTCCAAGGTGGACCCACACCTGAAATGCACCATGAAACACCTCTTCTGACTTTTGAGAATGCAAGAGTGGTCAGTGCCTAATGATGTCCATTCACCCACCATGAGAACCAAGCAGACATGATGCTGTCCCTTGGGTCTCACATCCTGGCATTCTATGATCTGGCTAAAGGTTGAGGGGCTGGACTATCACTGGGACTGGGTTGCCTCTGCTCTGCTCATCCATCCTTTGTGTCCAGGTTCAGTTTTAGGCTCTATCTTTTTCCATAATGGCTTCAATCATCAGTGTCTGAGACCTTGGGAAAGGTGAGAGTGATGGATGAAGGTAGTATGACCCATCTGCTTCCATCTCTGGGACTGTAAGGATGAGTTCTTCTCACCCATGCCTTGTCCTCTGTATTGCATTCTAGTATCTACAGTTCACCTGGGGCTATGTGCTGAGTGTATAGTGAGAAGGACCTATGGTCAGGTGGGTGGGTCCTTTGTGAGATGCTGGGTCCCGGAAATCCCTGGGTACTGACATCTCATGGTGTTGACTGACAGAGCTCCATGATCTGTGAGTCCTGCTGACCTCAGGGAATAGGACCATGAGATGGCCCTTCCCTCCATGGAGTCAGAGCATGAACCATGCTGATGTGCTGTGACAGGAACAAGGAGTCAATTTGTATGGGGTCAGAGTGGGGGAGGACAGTGAGCTTCAGCCAGGGCTCTCCACATGCAAGGTTCACTTCAAATACTAGATGAAGAAGGTGAGACCAGAACCCACCCAAACATCTGCACACAGGTCCAGTAAGTGAGGTCACTGAACCTGAACTTAACTCATTCTAGGTGGCATAATCCTAACATGAAAGTCAGACAAAACCTTACAGACAACAAAGTACAGACCAACATTTCTCATAGATGTAAAAACACTCAAAAATGCATTCACACTCCACATAATGACATTTGCCTCAATGGCAGATCTCACATGGGTTGGTGGTCCCACAAAATTAGAGAACTTTGTAACATTGGATCCATGTGACATTATTTATGTATACTCCATGATCACACAATGACAAAATTGTCTGTGGATTCATTTCTCAAAACACATTTTTAAATAAAATCATGAATAAATATACTGTAAATTAAATCCAATGATGTGTAGAAAGATTTATATTCTATGAATGGGATTTACTCAAAGGATATATGTCAGTTCAACATTGAAAAACCAAGAAATACAGTCAGTCACAACCTCAGAGTTAAAAAGAAAAATTACATGACAACAGAATTTAAATGTAGATGCAGAAAAGGCATTTGTCATGATCCCAACCCATTCCTCCTAAAGTGTTAGCAAATTAGGAATTGACAATTTCCTCAAACTGATTAAACTTATATACAAAGAAGCCTGATGTTGGCTTCATATATGATAACCTGAAAACTTAAATTTCCCAGTAAATAAGGAAGAAAGCGAGGGCATCCCCCAGTCCACTGCTTTTCAGCATTGCACTGGAAGCCCTGGCTAATGCAGGAAGAACAATAAAGGAAATGGAGGTGCACAGGTGAGAAGGAGAAATACAACCATCTTTCTGTTCAGATGACATGATTGTTTATGTTGAAAATCTGAATGAGCTGACAAAAAGGAAAGAAAAATGTTCAGGAAGTAATCATGATTACAGGAAGAGGATTCAGGCCTAACACACAATTTAATTTCTTTTGACCATTCCAGCAACAAACAGAGGAATTCAACAGTTCCTTCAAGAGCCAGGGTACTGATCTGAAGTTATTATGTTTCTGGAGAAACCATACAAGCAGCATGTCAAGAGGACTGAGCATTTGGGGGTCCACAAAAATTTATGACATTTCACATTTAGGCTTTTTTTCATCCTGGAATCTATTTTTTTCTGTAAATTCAGCCAAGATACACATTCTCTGATGAAAGTATAGTGTCACTAGCATCCAATGGGAGTACATTAATTAACAGTGTAAATAGCAAAATATTACTTGAAAATGAAGCAAAGTAGCAGGTGTACAAAGTCAAGGACCCTTCAAACCTGGCCTGTGGGTTTCACTCTCCCATCATGCAGGTGAGAGGAGAGGAGGGACAGTCAGAAAAGTCCCCAGCAAGGTGTAGGATCGATCCACAGTGTCATTGGAAAGAGCTCTCTACACCTGGAAATATGTGTTTCTTTTTCACTCAAACCATGGGTATGCACATTCTCAGAAACAGTTTCCCATCTTGTGCCCATATTTTCTTCCAAAATCTCCAGGGATGGCCAGATTCATCTCCCATGCTCCATCACTCAACCCTGTCCTCTCTCCTCTTCACCTCCTGACTGCATGTCGTATTCTTCTCAGGCTGTGTAGAACTTCAGTAACAGAATCCCTACGACCATGAGGAACACACCAGTCAAGCCCATGTGGATGAGATGCTCCACTGTGTAACTCTGGCAATGTGAGGCTGGGGAGTGTAGAGAAAGAGGACAGAGAGGTCAGGGAAAACCAAAATCACCTTGAGATCCTTGCATGTCAACCCACAGTACAGTCTTCACCTGGACATGGCTTGACCTGTCCAGCCCCTAAACTAACAAATTTCCCCTCTCGTGTATCAGGGGTAATGAATTTTTGTGATGGGCTTATGGTCTCATCAACTGCTGAGACCCAATGAGGAGTAGGATGTTTGAAGTGTTTAAGAGACTGAGCCTTTCCCCTGGGTTTCACATTCCCACGTGTTATTTTCATGACATAACATTCTGTGAATCCAGAATGACTCTTTCCTGCTGTATAGGGGTTTCCTCTCATTTACTCATTGAATTCCTCAGCCTCACTTTGTTCAGGGAGATTAGAACTTGTGTCTGACTCACTTTAGAACAAAGTTTGTCTGAGTCCCAAGACCCCAGGATGAGTGAGAAAAATGGTCTCCCAATTTAGAAGTCATGGAACCTTTATGTGCTCTCTGTTCAGTCTGGGACATAGGACCACAGAAGCTAATTCTGCCAGACAGGAGTTTCCACTGAATCACCAAATGAGAGCCCAGAGTCTGGGGTGATGTTTGGACCTTGGGGATCCTAAACTTCAGGAGCACAAGGGGTGACAGTCTCGGGCTACTCCCCTGCATCCACCCAGACAGTTCCCCTGAGCTTCATCATCTGTTTAACTTTCATTAAGCAACCCTCACCTAACTAGACACACCTGCAGAGAACCACGCAAAGATACACACAAGGTGCACAAAGATACACACACAAATGTATATACTCTAAATGTGTACATATGAATAGTGTGTTGTCAGTGGTTTACAAATTGTGTATTTCTGTTTCTTAGATGCATTTATCTGCAGAAAAGAAAAGAATTAATGTATAAAAACATACCAGTTGACAGATATTTATATGGATGACTATTTACAATTAAATAAATCTATAATGCATCTGTCCTGTTGCCTCCACAAAACCCTCATTTGCCCACCTGGCATGTTTTGGATTTCAGTGATGGAAGCAGGGTTGGGCATACATTGGAGACCCATGTCAGTCTCCTCCTCTCTGAAGGATGAATTCTGCTGTGGCTAACACTCCCTATGTCCACCAACTCCCATTCTAGACAAGAGCCATTCTGCAGACGGGGCCTTATGTAACCCTTTGAGCTCAGAGTGGACAGGATCAGTGGCTTCTCACCTGAGACCATGAGCACCAGGGGGGTCACTGGGGTGTTATGACAGGTAGGGGGATGAGCTTTGAGAACCATACCACCTGTAGGTTCCCCTAAGACTGAGTTCACAGGAGTCATGGAGAATTCTGCCTGGTGCTGCTGAGCAGCAAAGAATCAGCTGCTCCCTCCTTGGACAGAAGGAAAGTGTCCATCTAGCTCCATGACTGACACATCGGGGTCATATTTTCTCCTGAGGACACTGTGCGACGTGGCTGTACTGAGAGTGAAGGTTTGTCACAGAGCAGTCCTAGAGAGAAGAAAGAGAGTGCAAGGGCTACCCCACTTGTTCTGAGCTAAGGTTTTATCAGGGCCTGTGCCTAGGGACTTAAGTCTCTGTCTGTATCTGTTTTCTCTGACTTTGTGTATCCACAATCCTCCCCTGTCTCTCTGTCCCTCTCCCTCCCTGACACTGCTAACCTTCATCCTGCCCATTCCCTTTTGTTGCTCACCTGCTTGACTTATGCATGGATTGGTCCCTGACTTGTCCTGCTGCTTTTCTTACCTAAGACCAAGATGTCCAGCAGGTCACTTGGATAATGAGACTCATTATCCAAGAGTCTCAGCAAAATATCAACGTCCTAGTAAGTGAAGAAGGTGGAGCAGCAGGAAAAGTGGTGAGAAGATGGAGCAGAGATGGAAATAGCAAGCTTGTTCTGTAAGATGAGAGGGATGAGGAGGCACAAGATGCACAGCCTGCAGGAGATTGAAAAGGTGAGTGAGCAGAGTCTGTCCTGGGCCTGCAAAGAACACAGCCCTGAGGGAAACCTGACTCAACCCCAGAAGTCACTTTGTACTTAAGACCTGCAAAACGTACAAAATGACCTAAGTTGTTTCAAGCCACTATTTGTTATGGCAGAAATAGAAAGTGAATTAGGTTGGGTGTGTGTATGTGTGTGCTTACTACTTTGAGTTCTGAAAATTTGTGATTTCAATGTACATCATTCATTGAGGTGAAATGAAAATCCTCAAAAAATGCACAATTGATTTTTTATGTAGAAGGAGATAAGGCCAGATGGAAGTAAACAGAGGGCACAGATGTCATCATCCCTGTCTAATGTGACTGCCAAAGCCTGGTTTTCACCCCATGCCAGCCCTAGAAATGAGAGCAAGTTTCTGTGAAGTGAAGATCCACTTCCTGTGGGGCTGATGATGTGACAACCATGTGACAAGCAGGACCTGCCCAATGAGTGGGCACAGTTTCCTTGTTTATCAGGCTGTCTGATAGGAACTCTGGCTGCTTCTATCTAGCCAGTGGGAGGAGACACCATGATCCCCACACTCATGACCCTGTTCTGCTTGGGTGAGCTGTAAAGAGGGGGAGGGGGCACCATAGTCCAGGAGGGACTTCAACCCACAGGAGCAAACCTCTCACAGGGACTCTCTTCCAGGGCTGTATCTGTATTCCAGGACTCAAGTGCGGGCAGGTGAGTGTGTCAGCAGCCATCTCAAGTCCCACCTCCTCTCATGGGTCAGGAGCCCACCACTGGACAGTGTGATGAGAACATGAGGTTGGGTTAGAGCTGGAAGCCTGGAGGCTCAGGGCTTGGATGATAGAAGGGATGTACTGAGACTCAGCCTCTGATTTCCTTGCAGAATATCTCCCCAAACCCAGGCTGTGGGCTGAGCAAGGCTCTGTGATCACCTGGGGGGAAAAGGTGACCATATGGTGTGAAGGGACCCTGAAGGGCCAGAAGTACCTTCTGAACAAAGAGGGAAGCCCAGCACCCTGGGACAGAGTGTACCTACTGGAGCCTGGGAACAAGGCCAAGTTCTCCATCACAAAAATGACAGAGAACTATGCAGGGCTATATGAGTGTTACTATTACAGTCTTGCAAGTTGGTCAGAGCACAGTGAACCCCTGGAGCTGGTGGTGACAGGTGAGAGGACACTGAGGGGTTCCAGCCCCAGTCTCTGCACTCAGGAATGGGGTTTAACTTCTGAGGTATATGCCCCCTCTCACAGCACAACCCTGGGGATAATGTGGGAGGTGTGAGTCCATTTAACACACTGCCCCCTTCTCTCCTAGGGGTCTACAGAAAACCCAGCCTCTCAGCCCTGCCCAGTCCCGTGGTGACATCAGGAGACAGTGTGACCCTCCAATGTGGTTCATGGCAGAGACTGAACAGTTTCATTCTGATGATGGAAGGAGAACACACACTCTTCTGGGCGCTGGGCTTACAGAAACATCCATATGAATATTCCCAAGCCCTGTTCCCAGTCGGTCCTGTGACCCCCAGCCACAAGTGGACATTCAGATGCTACAGCTATGACAGGAAAAAACCACAGGTGTGGTCAGCGCCCAGTGAGCCCTTGGAGCTCCTGGTCTTAGGTAAGGAAGCTTCATTTCTGACACAATTATCTTTAGAGTCTCTAACACTCTGTCATGAGACCCGTTTCCTGTGGGAGGGAGGCTGAGAGGTGCTCAGGAACTCTGAGTCAGAGACCCAGAATGGAAGCACAGTGAAGCAGTAACTGGACCCTCATCCTCCTTTTATTCATATTCCTTGCAGAATTTTCTAGGAACCCATCCCCCCTGACCCACCAGGGCCCTGTCCTGGCCCCAGGAGAGAACCTGAGCCTATAGTGTCACTCTGACTTCAGCTATGACAGATTTGCTCTGTCCAATGATGGGGAACATGACCAGCTCCCTGACCGGCAGACCCAGGCTAGACTTTCTCAAGTCATCTGCCTCCTGGGCCCTGTGAGAGATTCCTATGGTGGCCCCTTTAGATACTATGGTGCACATAGCCTGTCTCTGAGTGGTCAGACCCCATTGATCTCTTAAATATCCTCATTACAAATGAGGAGCCAGAGGATCAGTAGACACCAGACCCTGCCCAGGCCCTGGTGGAGCAGCCAAGGAGGTGATGGCCAGGATTCTGGGTGGAGGTGTCAGGGAGGGAGATAGCCAGAGTGACAGGTGAGTGTTGGGGACAGGGAGAGTCTGAATAAACAGATATAGAGAGATCAACATCCTCAGACACAGGTCCTGGTTATCTCATCTCAGAACATGGTGGGGCTACCCCTTACACTCCTCTGTAGGTAGGCTCCCTGACAGCCCCACCCACTTGGGGCAGCTGGGTTTCACTGTGTCTGCAAGAGAGGATGTGATCCTATGTGTCAACCATGGAGCCCAAAGAATATTTTCCTTCTGTCCAAGGAGGAGGAAGCCAATTCCCCTTTGTGTCTCAGATCAAAGTCCCAAACTCAGTAGCACCAGGAAGAATTCTCCATGACTGCTGTGACCTCAGCTGTTGGGGGTACCTACAGGTGCCTAAAAACTTATCCCCTTACCTGTTGTCACAGCCCAGAGAACCCTGGTGCTCACAGTCTCCTGTGAAGGGCCTCTGACCCAGTTCATGCTGAGGTCAAAACTTCACTCAGAACCTTATGCTCTCACTCCCCACACAGCTCTAATAATCTGCCCACTCATGAGGAGAAGGAGGGTCTACTCCGTTAAAGGGTGGAATGGGCAGTACCTCACTTCCCTGGGCTCCTGACCCTAGAGTCTCACACAGAGTTCAGTGATAGAAGAGATGGTATGAGATAAGGTGAAGCTCACTGGAAATAGGATTAGATTCAGAGTTGTGGACTGAAGCTCCAGCCCTCACACCCCAAAGTCACCATCTCAGAATAAACTTCTGCAGGTGTCCCAGCTCTCACCAACATGTCCTAACTCCATGGGTCATGGTAACAGCAAAGATTTATAAATCCCCACTGGTTTCAAATTGTATCCTTTTTCATGTTTACTAAAAACCATTTAGATTTTCTAAAAGCCAGCACCACACACAGTTCTGCATGACCTGCTAGCGCCACCAGTTCCAGGGGCTGTGTGAGGACCAGACAAGAAAAAGGGCTGGTTCACTAGCATCTGGTATCCAGACCTTACTCCAAGACATGGAAGATGCTGGGCCTGATGGGGGAGCAGTAGTTGCTGACTGGGGGTGGACACAGGTCTTATTCTTCACTACTGAGAGACCCTGAGGACACAGGCCTTCATTGATACCTACAGAGTCCCTGAGTCCTCTCAGAACAGATTAGGAGGCTGATTAGGTCACCATGGGGTCTAACTGTGGATGAGGCTGCAGCCTCCACCACATTTGCTCCATTACAGAGAAGCATCCCAGGTGTGGGTACCACTGGGGATGTCCCCTCCTGAGGTTACATGGGGACCTCCATACTCAGTGGACAATTGACTGTCCAGATAAGGGAGAGCCATGTATCTGCTCACTGAAGTGACTTAGGGATCCCTGCCCAGCTCAACTGTGTGCAGCTCAAATCGTTTCCACTCTGTATTTACTGTTTATACTTGTGTACTGTGACTCAGACCCAACTTCTGAACTCACAAAGCACTGTGGGGCTGAGGACTCCAACAAGGAGCCAAGTGGAAGCCCTGACACAGCAAGGAAAGCATTCATTCAGGATTTGCATGAAGTTCTTTCATGAGGATAAGATAGGAACGTTGAGTTCAAGGAATGACTAAGAGCCCCTCAGGGCCACACACAGTCTCTTTGGTTCTCAGAAGCAGCTGAAACCACCAGCCCATCACAGAACATGTCAGACACCAAGACTGGTGAGTAAGGATAATTCTCAGATATGGGGTGGACACGGTGTCTGTTCTTGTTCAGGGAAGGCCGTTGTGCTGAATGGACATCTAGGTATCCTGAGGTGATTTGGACTTCCTTGACCTCTGTGACATTTGGTCCACAATCCCCAGCCTCACAGCCCCAGGACTACACAGTGGAGAATCTCATCCGCATGGTTGTGGCTGGCCTGGTCCTCGTGGTCCTGGGGATTCTGCTATTTGAGGTTCTGCACAGCCAGAGAAGGACAAAATGTGCAATCCAGGTATAAACAAGAGGAAGAACAGTGCACTACACAGCGTGATGGACATTGCCAGAAGGATTTGGAAGAAAATCTGTGGTAAAAATTGGGAATTGTGTTCTGAGAACATGTGGTCCAGGTGCAGGGAGTGTGTGGGTGCTGGTGTGCAGAGCTCATTCTGCACTTAACTGTGGAGCATTCCTCCACCTTGCTGTTACTTTAGTTGACTTCCCCTCTATCCTCTCACCTGATGAGGGGAGGGTGAATCCCACAGACCAGGTGTGGGTCCTGGTCCTTGTGAACCTCATGCTTTGCTTCACTTTGATGTAACATTTTGATCACTTTTAATTGTCACTTTCCCCATGGTGCATTAGTGTGACTCCATCTATTCAGCTGAGAGGATTAAACTTTGGTCAAATAACAGAACTAATGAGGAAAAATCAGCTTTCATCTGAGAAAAACTAAATGATTCCCTGACATTCTCTGTGGACCCATGAACCCTTCTGATTTCATGGATGCTGTCCCTGGGGTTTCTCCTGAAATACAAGGACATGAAATCAATGCATTGCAGTTTGAAGGACTAGTCTGGCAGGCACTCTTGCCATGCTCTGCAAAGTCACTTGTTAAGTCAAACTCTTGATTTGTGGCACTTGATGATTCCTAAATGCATTCCCCTCATGGCCAACTTCCAAATGCAAATGTGACATCACCTGTGGGCAGTATTGAAGGGATGATGAAAAGTGTGAATTCATGAAGATATTTACTATCTTGATGGAACATTACAGGTCTGTTAGCATTTATGATAGGCATGTGTCTCATGTTAAATCCATAATTCCTATACATTATGCATTTGCATTTTTGTTGTGTCCTGTATTGTTAATCAGATATAAGCTTTCATTTATTTTTATGTTTTTATTTGTCTTATGATGGGCTTTTCTCAGTCTTTAGATTTCATTTGTCCTGGAGTATTTGTTACTCATGTTTCTTGAGGGTAGGACCTGACCCTTCCTTCCTGGGCTGAAGTAAAGTGGCAATGTCCCCAAACTATAAGCCTTTACTAAATCCAGTTAGGACATTAACATCACCTGGCAGGCACCTTGGGGTCAGAAATGAGAGTTACCTTTTCAATGCCACATAACATGTAACCCAAAATTAGATGTGGATGTATATGAATCCCAGAACACTCATGTCCTAAACGAAAATGGGAATTGTTCATTTTTTTCCAGTCAGAGAGTATGTTGAATGTCCCGTGAGAGCTTGATTCTTATAACAACTACACACAGATCAACTGGAGTTGAGCATTACTGTGATCTTTCTTTTTTTCTTTTCCTGTACTAAGTTACACTCATGGGAAGACTTTGTTCATGACCATCTGTGATGCTTCCCTTCCCTATTCCTCACAAGATGACTTCATTTAGATAAAGCCAACTCACCATCAATGTCTGATCTATGCTTCAGCTCCTTATCACCCCTGATTCTAAATCCACAAAACAGGTGATTTATCTTGTCCTGTCATACCGCTTTAAACATTTCTTTCTTAAATTCAATCCTAGTTTTCACCTTAACCTTCCTTGTAAAATCATTTTTAGTCATTTAGTTGTACCCTCTGATACTAGACCTTCCATGAGGGAGAGAATATGTGCTTTGCTCAACATCACCCCTTCATTTTCTGAGATAGCTCCTGGTTGACTTGCTCAAGTATTTCTCACATAAAGAGTGATAAAGTGTGCAGAATGGGGAGTGGAGAAGTCAATGAGCCAGGCTAAGGGGAAGTCCTGCCCAGTGAGGTGAGGGAAGCTCAGTAGTCAGAAAAGGAATGGAGCCACTGAGGAAATACATGGCACTGCCAGGCCTCATCTACTGTGTGTCACTCAGAAGGCAAGGCCTCAGCCACATGTATGAATACAGGGGTTTATTTGAGATGCAAGAATGAGGCAGGTGGGTTGTGGCATGGGTTGAGAGAGCAGGAAGGGATCCTGAGGTCAGGGAGTACTGAGGACTCTGTATTAGGAATGGTGACAGTCCACACCAGCATCTTTAGTGGTGACAAGATTCCATGTGATTCTTCTTCAGAAGGAGGACATGCCTGGGAGACATTCATGGTTCCATCTGCCCATTTCTTGGAGTTTCCTCACATTTTTCAGAGTCTTCACTCTTTGGAGCAGAAGTCCCTTCAAATAAGCTCCTTATACACACATATGAGCATCTTGTGAAGGAATTCTGTCCACATGATTCTGAGACATACAGAATTGACAATCAGATCCAATATGATGTCAGCAGTGACACAAAGGGACATGCTATGTATTACTAAACACATGTGCTTACATGCAGAGCTCAGTGGTGTTACACAGTGCCTGGTGATTTGATGTTTACTTCCTATGCAAAATTCTGCTTATTTGCCTTCTGAACCAGAAGATGAAATTTATTTGCCATTTATTTCAAGTCCTGATTTGTCTTTCTCCTCCTAACCTAAATTTCAGATTTGAAGTCAGAGGTAGCTCTTATCCTTTTAAGGAGAAGAAAGCCGAAAAATGAGGGACCACCTCATAGAACAGATAGACATGAATCCAAGTTGTCCCAGGGTACAGCCACTGGTTTTGGGGCAATGAGGCTATAGATTTGGGGAAGTCAACACAAGGACACAGGGAAATCTAGCCTGTGACAAGGCAGGAACAGCAAATGTCCATGGCAAGTGTGGACTTGGGGAAAAGGGATGAATTAAGAACAACACCTCTTAGTCCATGAGATTAAACTCCCAGTGAGTCAGAGATACAATTGTAAATAGATAAATAGAAATGTGAGTCAAGTCACATATAACCTTGGTCTGGGAATGAACTGAAGCTATAACTTGAAATCCATATGTAGTAGCAAGAAAAGATGAGCAAATAGACTTTATAAATAAACCTATTTGCATATGTGCATGGCACACACACAAACACACACACAAAGAAAACTCAGTAGACAAGTGGAAAACCAATAGAAAATATGTATAACACATTGCAAAGATTCTGTATGCATATATATAGATACATATATATATATATATATATGTATCTATCTATCTATCTATCTATCTATATATATATATATATATATAAAGGTACATGAAATTATATATGATTGTAAATATTGTTATAGTATCATAAAAACCATAAATTAGATATTATATGTGCCTTCATTATGCAATTATAAAAATTAAAAACAATTAAATATATGATGTTAGCCTTCATCCTTCCACATACACACACATGGATCTTAATTATTAAAGAAAAATGGCATATGACATGGGAAAGAATTAGTAAAAGAGATTACAACTGCTGTTAAATATATGAAAAGTTGTACAACTTTAATCTTATCCACAGAGAAATGCCAAGTTAGACTAACTTGGACTGCAATTGTACCTATTTGGATAAAATCAGAAGCTTCCCAGCTTTCTGCTTTTTGGAAGTCTGTGAATAAACAGACTGCACTTACACTGCTAGTAGGAATGAAAAGGGGACAGTGCATATTGACGGAAAATATCAACCAAACAGCATGTGCATTTCTGCTTTTGCCCCAGGAAATGTCTTCAAGAAATTTTCCTTAAGGCACACGTCCAACAATAAGGAAATCTATACCCCAAGGCTGTTAATGGAAGCATTGCTTGTACTTGTGAACTACTGGGAAAGTAACCTGAAATGCACCCCAAAAGTAGATAGGCTACATGAACTCGGCTTCATGCTCAAAATGGAGTCACATGCCTCTGTGATGGAAAAGAAGAAAGTTTCCTTTATATGGAGGATGCTCCCTGGTGTGCTGACAAGTGAAAAGAACAAATAAAAGACAAGAAAAATGATGCTGGAGAAAGGTGGATATTGATGAGAGAATCAGGAGGAAATAAGAAACCTGGAGACACATTCGTGATAATAGAGGGAAGCATGAAAAGCATAAACCACACTTCATAGATGTCTAAAGCCATGGATTGTTTCAATGTGTTTCTGTATAAATGAATACATTCAGGAGCAGTGAAAGCTCTGCTACAGTGACACCTAAGTGAAAGTTAATGGGGAACATGATATTTACAGTGTCTCAAAGTATCTCACTACAAATCATTGTCTAATTATGAAAGACAAATAGCAGCTTTTTGTGGAGAAACCTGATGGATGCCAAATCAGCCATGATATCAAAGCAAAACCTCACCAGTGAGGAACAAAAGACATCATTCAGGTGCTATTGCACTCAAGAATGCATCATATCTGTGTAGGAAGAAGACACGGTTAAACTAAAAACTATTCAACAATACAGTGTGGAGGGAAAGGGTGAAGAAGAGGAATACAGGCAGTTAGACTGCTTTAAGTGCAATATATTCACAGGTAAAATACCCAGGCAAAATCCCCACTGAAGAATAATCAGACACTTAAAAAATGAAAGACAGGATTGAAAAATAGGCCATGTTAAGGGGAGGGAACTAGTGAGGGGGGAGGGTAAATGAAGAGGGTAAACTAGGGTGAATATGGTTGATGTATGTTCTATTCATGTATGAATATGGAGCATTGAAACACGGTGAACATATTTTAAGAAGGGGAATAAGTAAGGGAGGAAAAGAGGGGAGGAATGCACCAAATAATGGTATAAGATATGTAAAAACAAAATGTGACAATGAAACTCCCTGCATAACTGTCACATACTAATAAATGTTAAAAAAATACAAACTGCAAATAAAATAAAATTTTGTTGACCCATCTTTTTCCTCAGAATTAGCTTATGATTTCTTCTTCTCCAGAATCCCCTTCTCCTCCATTAGACCTCAGTGATCTCTATTCTTAACGCTACCCATGAACAATGGTATGAGAAAAGGCTCCTAAGGTCCTGTTCACACCCTTGCTGTAAACATGGTAAATCCACCCAGGATTCCCTGACACAGGAAGACATGCAGATGAACACAATGTTTGATGATGGGGAGAATTGGGACCTTGGACAGACCCAGGCCGCTACTGATCTGCCCACATAGAGCTCTTTTTCCTCCATTGCATATATGAAAACAAGTCAAG